GGGGGCGGGAGGGGGGGAGGAGTGGGGGGATAGGATGAAGGGAACCAACATTGTTTTTACAGTGCTGTTTTTCTGGTTGGATCCTTTACTCAGGCTATCTAACTTCATCCTGAGAGGGGCCAACGAAGATACTGCATTAGTGAAATTTTATAAGTCAGGATCCAGGGCTTAGAAATGTGAATTTGCTTGGCCGGAAGTGAGGTGGGAAAACAAGCCCTGGAAAACAGGGCTGCAAGGGCCCATTCTCTATTAAGATTCAGCAGCATGCTACTTAGATTGCTTTCCATTTTCAGTATCAGAAAGAAATGACCTTCACATACCAAGTGAGAGGCAAGAAGACATTAGTCAGATCCTAATAAGTGAGTTTTATGCTATGTAAGTTACATCTCAGTGAAGTTGCTAAATAAAAAAAAAATTAAAAAAAAAAAAAGATTCAAGACAGGTGAACACAATCCAAAACCCCTGGTTCCCATGGTGGCAGAGACAAACTGCGTTTCCAGTTTTCGTCACTTATGCATTCCTTCGGCAAGTACTGCTTAAGCACTTATGACTACTACTCACTGAACTTGTGAACATTAAGATGAATCCAGAAATGAATATGGAAACTTCTTCAGGCAGCTTTTTTTTTTCTTTTTTTAAATTTAAATTAGAAACAAGCTTGTTTTACATGAAGTGTCTAGGCTGAGAGAGCATTGCTCTATGTGGAGAGGGCTCCCAAAGTCCATACTAAGAATAAATACTGATCCACTACCAGAGGCCACCTAGATTAACTAGACCTCCAAACTGACCTCCTCCTTTAGGGGGTGTGGAACAGTCCTATGCTGGTTTCCCAGCTATCAGTCAGGGGTCCATGAGGTCAGCTGTTTCTGCATAGATTCCAGGAGTTCAGTTCAGTGTTTAGCTCTGGATGTCTGCTTCTGCTTCCATCAGCTACTGGATGAAGGCTCTAGGATGGCATATAAAGTAGTCATCAGTCTCATTACAGGGGAAGGGCATTTAAGGTAACCTCTTCGCTATTGCTTAGATTGTTAGTTGGAGGTTATCCGTGTAGATCTCTGGGCATTTCTCTAGTGCCAGATTTCTCTTTAAACCTATAATGGCTCCCTTTATTATGGTATCTCTTTTCTTGCTCTCCTCTATTCTTCTTCCGCTAACTCAAACTAAGTGCTCCCTCATGTCCTCCTCTCCCTTCCTCTTCTCCCCTTCTCTTTCTCCCAACTCCCTCTCCCCTCCCCCTATGTTCCCAATTAGCTCAGGAAATCTTGTCCCTTTCCTCTTCTCTGGGGTACCATGTATGTCTCTCTTAGGGTCCTCCTTGTTTCCTAGCTTCTCTGGCAGTGTGGATTGTAGGCTGGTAATCCTTTGCTGTATGTCTAAAATCCATATATGAGTGAGTACATACCATGTTTGTCTTTTTGTGACTGGGTTACCTCACTCTAGTTACCTCACTAGATGGTTTCTTCTAGTTCTACCCATTTGCCTGCGAATTTCAAGATTCCATTGATTTTTTTTTCCTCTGAGTAGTATTCCATTGTGTAAATGTACCACATTTTCTCTATCCATTCTTCAGTTGAGGGGCATCTAGGTTGCTTCCAGGTTCTGGCTATTACAAATAATCCTTGAGTAGCTTTTATCAATATTATAGTGTGGAAGGAACACCTGACTCAGTGGAGGGAATTAAGAAAACATGACAGGAAGTTGCATTTAGGCTAAGGCTAATGGGTAGGCAGAAGTCAACAGTGAACCGGTATTGCCAAAATAGCTAGTTAGAGCACTATGAAGTTATCACCAGAAATCTTTGTGAAAGGTACTGTTACTCACTCAACAAACGTGTTTGTGTGATGTTTGTATACATATGCATTGGATTCCAGGAAGCATGGGAACGGTAAATTAAACAATTCTTTTAAGGAAAGTAGATGAAGCAGATCTTGTTCTTATCTTTAAAAAGTGGCAGTGCTGAAATCGAAGGGCAAAAAATTTCATATGACCTCTGCCAGATTCTAGGACACATAACTTGTAAAAAAAAAAAAAAAAAAAAAAAAAAAAAAAAAAAAAATGTGGAATAGGTTTTGCTGGCTGGCACTTAGCTTCCTTCTTCTTTAGCAGTAAAGCTGTCTGCCAAAGCTGACTGGAATGGAGGGGGTGGGGAGGAGGGACCAAGGGGGAAGAGGGACAGAGTGGGAGCGGGTTGCAGTCCTGTACTGTTTTGTTAGAGCTGAGTTAGAGAGGACCCTCCTGTGACTGAGTCTCAACAGTCCAGATGTCAGAATTATTTAGAGAACCAAACGTAAAACAAAAAGGAGGGACAGATAGGGAGCCCATGATTGCCTCTAGGCTTTGTGATTGTATTAGCGTACACACCTAGGACAAGTATGAAGCTCCACATGGCAACTATGTGTGGTTGGGTTGATCTGTATATGAATTGTTTCTCCCCTGTAATTCTATGGTTACAAAATTATAAATATGGAAAAGTGTCAACTGAAAACAAATCACAACATTTTGATTTTAACTATTTAAAGTTAAATACAGGAGGTGAGTGAGTAATGCTAATTAATACTTGTGAGGTTGAGCTGGGAACATCACAAATATAAGGCCAACCTGAGCAACTTAGCAAGATCCTACTGAATATCCATACCTTAAGTTAATTGAATTTAATACATAAAAGTCATAAGGAAAAACATTTTTTTAAAATCTATTAAACATGAATTACTGAGTATAGTACCTGACTTTCTAAGTAGTCTGTGAGAAAAGGAATTATATATATAAAGACAGGGTCTCACTATATAGCTATGGTTGGTTGGCCTGGAACACACTATGTAGAGCAGGCTGGCCTTGAACTTAAGAGACCCACCTGCCTCTGCCTTCCAACTGCTGGGATTAAAGACAGGCAGCTCCATGCTCAGCTTCAGATATTTTAAGCGTTGTAATTTGAATATAAAGCAATCTTTGTCTTTAACAGAAGTAAGAAGTTCAATTTAATTTTAATCATAGTGAGTTCCCGACACACTGCCTTCAGAAAGATTTTGAATCCCCTGGCTGTAGGGAAGCCTATAGGACATTTTTTAAATTACTGATTAGTGGGGAAGGGCCCAGTCCATTATGGGTGGTACCATCCCTGGGCTGGTGATCCTGGGTTATATAAGAAAGCAGGTTGAGCAAGCAATAAGTATCAGGCCCTAGTAAGCAGCATCCTTCCATGGACTCAGCATCAGCTCCTGCTTCCAGGATCCTGCCCTGCTTGAGTTCTGGTCCTGACTTCCTTCAGTAATGGACAATGATATGGCAGCATAAGCCAAATAAACCCTTTCCTCCCTGAGTTACTTTGGTCATGGAGTTTCATCACTGTAATAGTAACCCTAACTAGGTTATCTCCCAAAAGCATAAGAAATGACAACAAATATTTGCTGTCTTTTTCCTAATATTATATTCATGATCTGTTTAATAAGGGAGGGAAATTCCACCAGCCAAACTGATTATAACTAGGTTATAACTGTGTTATAGGTATTAGTACCGGGCATATAATAAACACACAATTACAACTTTCCGGATGAAAACTGCAGAGACTGCTCTTCAAAGGAGACCTTGAAAGGGGCTGGAGTGTTTTCTGCTCTTGCAGAAAACCAGAGCTCAGTTTCCAGCATCCACATCTGGAGGCTCACAGTTATAGTTTCAGGGGATCCGATGCTCTCTTCTGGCCTGTGGGGGCATGTACACACACACACACACACACACACACACACACACACACACACACACCAAATAAAGTTTTAAAAAAAGGGAAAGAGCTCCTGTAATCTTACAAAGAGGGAACACCAAAATAATGTACAAATGGGTTGACAACATAGTCAAAAGAAATTTGGTTTTGTTTTATGGAAGAAAGGAATT